TCTCAGTAGTAGCCTGAGAAAGCGGGGGACACGAGTGAGTAGCCCCCGCCCAACAACGCAATGGGCAAATATCATGCTCCGAAATCGACTTTTCTGCACACTTCACTTTCTGACATAACCGCTGAGCAATGGATGCGAGAAGTCTCGGGCAAATTATTAATTTACCTGATCAATTAACATTTAATTTCTAACTTCTCATGGATATACCCTTTATAAACCAACCTTACAAACCACTTTCCGCAAATAAAGAACATGTCCCTCACGACACCTAATGTCATGTGCATACTAACAGAATGCGGTAGCATTTATTCTAATGCATAACTCCGTTTTCATTAACGGGAGGTGGGCGGCAGAGTTGCTTCAAAGGCCGTGTTTCCGTTGTCTTTCGGCGACATTGAGATAGAGGTCCTCGGGTTAGAGTCGCGACGGTGGCGGCAGGTTTTAGAGCTATGTACTGTCTGGAGGAGCATCCTAGCTAGTTGCTCTCGCCGGTAGTTTTCCTTGGTTTTCCCTATCAATACCAGACGAATACCGGAGCAGTTCCTTAACAAATGGCCCGCCAGCAAAATATCCTTGATCATCCTTGCCTGTTTCTCTCCCCTTCCATATACAGTTACATGCACTTCACACATGCCGGGGATCAGTCGGGAGTTTAGTTTTTCTCACGGTTGAGGAGATACTTACAGGGGGAAACCCGCAAGCCGACGTGTAGATCGCCACCGAATCTTACGCAATAAGGGGGCGGATATCAATGACTTACATAATGCATGACACTAACGGGACTGATAACCACAGCAGTTGACACTTCTGGAAGCACCAATTACTCAATCACGGACGGGTGCTCTGGCTCGGTTTTGGAATACTGTTCCGTTGAATATCACCTTAGCGTTTGTGCATCTTTCAGGACCCACTCCCGTTCCTTATTTTTGTGTCTCCTTGGGAGGAGTTCTCATCTTGATGCTTTCCTTCGAAGGCCTTCTGAAACTGGGAGGGAAAGAAACAACGTCTTTCCTTTCATAGGTCTAAAAGTACTGTGATGTGCGAGCATCTGCATTTCACATCTGCATAAAGCATCCATACACAAATCTTCTAATCATCCTATTCAGCGGAATAACTGCTACGTAAATCCGGATGGGCCATGCTGTTTGGTACACCGTTGAACCCGAATGTCATAGGTGGAACGCGAGTAACTACCTCAACGTGAATAGAGTTCGGATATTTCGCAGAGAGCAAATTTTATAATTTTGCGTTAATCTTAGAAATCTCAAGTAAGCTAGAAGAATTTACTATATTAAATGTTTTAGGGTGGAGAGAGGAAAATGTGTACTTGAGAGTAAATGTGTATTCAATTTTAAAAAAATACTATGATAGGTAGCGCTCCCTAGTGATTTGAAATTGTACCAACGTGAAGAAGAAACATTGGAAGAAAAAAAATGTTTGACTGCACCCCTCCTTCCAAAAAATCAGAAAAAGAATCATACAAGGTTTTGTTGGTCTTGAACTGTTCTTTTGTACACATTTGCCCCTAAAACTCTTAGTTCATATAGGAATTCCATTCACAGTACACATTTGACTACAGTCGGGGGTAAATGTGTACTTAAGATGCTGTTTCAAAAAACTTTGATACAACCATGAAAATTTCAATTCTTTTTAAACACGTCCAGAGGGTGATTTACAATCTAGAAAAAGAGTAAAAAATTATGCAATTTTTAAAAAAACAGTTAATGTAGACCCAATATAAACTGACAAAGTTTTATTTTGCCGAAAATGGTGCATTGACTCTGACTCGATTGCCAGTGCATTGACTCTGATCGGGAAGCCCTAAGGTTCAAATCCCGACGGTGGAGAATTTTCGACACTAGATGTAGCTAAGTCGAATTCAGCAATCCAGAATTACTGTCTGTTACTTCTCTACTATTCTACTGGTCAGTCGCTCCGATCAGTAGTTTTCCTTAATCAATACCAGGCGAATGCAGAGGCATTACTCATTTAAACAGGACACAGAACGCCCACAATCTTTTCTTCCTTATCCTTGTCTCTTCCGCACCTCTTACATACTAATACTCAAGCACACTTAGATGCATTACATTAGCACACATGACGGGAGACCTGTATGAGCTTAGTCCTTGTCCGGGCTGGAGCGGTGCCCCGCTGGCGAGTTACCTGGAGGGGCAAACCCCCATAAGCCGATATGTACTCGTAGGTCAGCGCCGGATCTCACGTTGTAGCTGTGGAGGAACATCGCTCCTCCCAGGACCGACGGTATATAATGTACTCAACTTAAGGGATTGATCATAGTTGACGCGCCCGGAAACAGAAAATGATTAATCAAGAATGCAAAGAGAGCGATTCCAGTAGAACAGGGATATCAAAGTTTGTGGTAGCACTTGTGGTACAGGCAGGCCCCGCACCACCGTGGCAAGCCAGCGGAATGCCAGCCCCTTGCAGCGCAACGCGTGGCCGCCAAGCAAACTACCTGTAGTAGGCGAACTCAATTCTCTTAAGAGCAAGGGCGCGGCGTGTCGAAACCAGCTGCAGCAGCCTGTTCATCAAAGGGTATAAAAGGATTTCATCTTAATTACGAATAATATTGCCTGTGATAGGTTATTTTACTCGCAACAGAATTAGAAACATGATATTGTATTTTTCATACACCACTGTCCACATTTTTTGTCAGAGTGTGGCACACGAAGTTGAGTTGTAAGTGTGGACTTCATGAAATTTAATATAATCTTAAAAGGGTATGATACAATTTATAATTTTTCAACGTTAAACAAAATATCTGTATTTGAAGTCAAATTTGTATATAAACAAGAATTTGCGATCTTGAAAATGCTCCAAGCAGTACTGGTTTCGAATATATGACGAAAAATTGAAAACGTATTTGCCGCTGGGACAATTTACAACCGTATTCGTGTAAAAAAATACGTGTTCTGATTTTACGAACCGTATTTATGTAAAAAAATACGTGTACAGAAAAATAAAAGTGAAAATGTTTATAATAACAGTATATGTAGTTAAATTAACTTCTCTCTCCCGCGCCTAAGTGTATCGTTCGTGTAAGTTCCAGCGCCGCTTTCACTACTGTTCTCTCGTGACGAAGTGGGCAACTGCTTGGAGGAGAGATTTCCATCGAATCACACTAGTAGCAACTACATCACTCACGTAGTGCATTAACTTCATATTCTGTAGAAAATGTCGTGGAGATGCGATAGTAATTGTCAGTAACAATTACTGGGAATTTGGCAAGAAGAATTATTTTAATATAACACGAATTTACTTTCTGGTGGTGTTATTATCACACTGACAGTCTCTGCTTGAGGCATGACAATAAAATACGTTGTAATAATTGGTATAAGGATATAGTCCGGTTTCATCACATTTGCACATTCTTAATGTATTAGGTAATGTCGACCATCCATCACAACGGCCATGTCATTCGTAGTGTCGGAACACCATGACAGCAAATCGTAAGATAGCACTCACTAATTAGCGCCAATATAATTTCAAAATCGTGTAATAAGATATCCAAAACAATATTGTCCCAAAAAATTAAATGTGTAATTACCGTGTCCGATTCTTCACAATAAATTAATTTTGGAAGATATTTTTCCTGGTGTGTTATAGATAATCATTTGCGTTTAGCAGATCTTCGATAAGGAAAATTCTTATTTTTTTATTCTGAATAAAATATTGTCTCCTACATTCATCACTCGCCCTCACGTTCATAAATTTAAAATACGTTTATACAGTTCAGAGTTATGGAAACAAGTAGTTTTTCTAAAATCTTCTTTGTTGATTGCTGATGATTCAGGCGAATGTGATTTTTCTTACTTGCTGAAGAACACAGAATACTGCACTGAGTTTGAATACGTATTTCAACATCAAAATAAATTTAATATCCCGAGATTTATTATTCTGAAACGAATTCTAATTATCATTGTAGGTATTTTTAAGGTCGTAATACGCATGTGTCCTTTAAACCCTACGGTCGTAGAATTTACTTATGCTATTTACGGGAACGTAAAAAGGAAAATACAATGTTTTTTTGAGAATATGCGCCAAGGGTTATGAATAAGAATGAGTGGGTTAACTGTTATCATCTTTATCAAATTGTATGAAACATTTCTAAGAAGAAATGTGTTGGTGAGTGTTAATTGGTTTGAGAAGGTACGCGAGAAACGAGGCCTTCTTCTGGGCATGTGTCGACGTCTTGCGTAGTGTTGTAGCCCAACAGCATGCAGTGTGAGTGGCCCTGTGTAATGGCGGTGCGTCGCGGCTGTTGCAGCTACTTCGGGCCGTCGGCGCGCAACGGCTACCCGGTGGGGCTGGACAGCCGCTTCAACCCGTTCAAGGCGGGCCCGGGCCCGCTGCTGTCGCTGATGGGGCCGGGCGGCTCTGCGCTGAACGGGCGTCGGCTGCCCACGCGAAGCGGGCGCGGTGGGCGGCGGCGCGGGCGCGGGCCGCGGGGCGCGGCGGTGGGGGGCGGCGGGGCGGCGCCGGGCGGCGGGCCGGCCGGGCTCGGGTCGCCGCCGCGGGCTGCCGCGCCGCCTCCGCCGCCGCCGTCCTTGGCGCGCTCCGGCTCGGCCCGGACGGAAGACGACGGCCGCGACAAGAAGATGGCGTCGGCGCGTGTCCCCGTCGGGCGTGGACGCGCAGGAGGCGCGGTGTACACGCTGGGCGGTCGGTTGGGCGCCGGGCGGCGGCCAACACGGGCGCTGTTCTCCGCCCATGGAGTCGAACATGCGGTCGACGCAGCGCTAGCTCGGGCTGGTGCGCACCGCGCACGCGCAAGTCGAGATCCAGCACTCGAGACGGTTAGCCTGGCAAGGGCTTCCGCAAGCGGCCCGCCTCGCCTCCTCGTCCTCGAGGCCTTCCTCTGCGACCTGTCCGCGGGCTCCGTTGGGCGAGCTACAGCAAAAAGCGTGGCGAACGAACAGGAAGCGTGAGTGTGAGTGACGGCGCTGTTGAAAAGCGAGGTCGGTGCTTCAACATGGCCGATGGATTGGACGCTCTTGCGCTCCACCAAGGAGCGCGGCTGGGGCGAAGCGCGGGTGGGCAGTGTGTCGCCGCAAGCCGGTGGAGTCGGCTGCTGGCGGGCGGCGGGTCGGCCGGCCGTGGAGGCGGCGCGGCGGCGGGGGCGGGGCGGGGGCGGCGGCAAACCGCCGCTTGCCGCCCTGGCGCCTCCGCCGCCCCGCGCCCGGCCCCGCCCCCGCCCCCGCCCCGGCCGCAGCCGCCGCCCCGCCGCGCACGTCACCCGTCACTCGCACCGACGCGTACGGGCCGCACGCTGGCCGCTGGCATGTCGGGGTGTGCGCGGGGGCCGATTCGGCCGGTGCGGGGTGGCGCGGCCTCCCAACGCGGGCCTCCGCCGTCGCCCACTGGACGGTGGACAACGTCTGCTCCTTCGTCTCGTCCATCGACATCTGCGCGGAGTACGTGCAGGTCAGTGCCCCACACGCTTCCTTGCTATTTTACCTACCACGGGACGCAGGGGGGAGCGCCGACCTGGATGGCCGAGCGAGTGCCGACTCTGCGCCTCGGTCCCAAGGGTCGTGGGCTCATGAAGTTTATAGAGATAAATGGTTGTTTGTCCTTGACTTTCACGAATGTGTGTTGTCGCGGAATTACTTGTGATCCTGCTGATCGCAGATCAACGAGCCCCCAAGTTTGTCCAAGGAAAAAAAAGTTAATATGTGTTCCCATGAGGGACTTAGTGGGTACCCGGCGTGGGTAGTCGACGCTGACATCCCCTGAAGGGTTGGAAAAAGTACCAGGGAGAAAAGAAAGTGGAGGGAACGATTGATCTTCCGGTTTTAGTGCAAGTTGCTCCTGTTTTCAAGAAGCACTAATTATCACTACGCTTTTCTTCAATTCGGTGGCACTTGCGAAAGTGACTACTTTGTAAATTAAACCGAAAAAATAATGCAGTTAAGGTCACCGCCATTAAGAATGAATAGTGCACAGTTCTTGGGTGTGAGTCAGGAAAGAATCTCATTCAAAAGTGGTTTGACCTCGACGCATGTTATTTCCTGCGTGGTATAACATGCCTAGTTGAATGTTATTGTTCAATTTGTATTTACAATACGTTGTAGTACAATACGTTCTACAATACAATATTTGTCCTTTAATGGGCAGTTTCGCGTTGCTGTAAGAAATACAATCACGTGTTAATAGCGTAAGATGTAAATGATAATCAATAAGGTAGGAATGCCCAGGCATTATTGTTAATATATATTTTTTAAATGTTTTGATCATAGAAAATTGTACATTAGAAATTAATATGTTCAAAGGTGTTCACTTCTGAGATTTAAAAGGGGAAATATACATTTTTGATCGCTTGTCAAAGTACCAAGCAGCTTCACTAATATGAGTGATACTTCACAATTATTCCTAACCAGTATCAATGGACTTTTATCATTAGAGCCTGGATTTTTATGCATTAAGGTTGTCTAAAATATGACATATCCTATGCACTAAAAATCTTTAAAAATATGTCTTAAATATGCTGTTTAAAATATACATGAAAACACGACTATATTTTTTTACGAACAAGGAATGCAGAAAACAAAAAAAAATGTTTAATTGCGCTTTTGTCTTTATTACTAGTTTGAATCACAACGTCAACAAAACAATTGTCGATAGAAAAACAAATATTCTGACTTTTTTTATTTTTGTATAGTCATTTTTTGTTATGCGTGTGTGAGGAATGTAAAAATTGTTAAAACGTATCATAATCCTGTAGGCATTTGTTTCCAAAACTTGGTATAATCTCCAGAAATAACAGAAAACTGCACACATGAAAAAATGTGAAAAATAACATTTGCCGGGAAAAATCTATAGAAGGCTTATTTGATAAATGTGATAATTTTTCGCGTAACAATTAGCAAAAATTATGAATTTGCATATAAAACCAAGAAACCATTGATCACTATTTATAATTAATAATATTTATCACAAAACTTTTTTAACAATATAACGAACACAAACCACTAATCACCATCACTAATATCTGAAAATTAGCTCATAGTATTGAGGTAGCAAATGTTTGAAGCAGTTGTTCGCGATGAAACTTCATATATTTTCCCAAGAAACAAAAGCATGAAAACATTCTTTTTACTACCATCAATTAAGATCAAAATCATATTTCTCCAGACTGAAAGTTTTTGCCTATCATTTGTTGCCTATGTTAACTGCTGTACTGACTTTTGTGTTGCCCAATTTAACTTCCATGTGACTAACTTTCATTCGCGAAAGAGACAGGAGTTAGTGGCCGTATGGCCGGAATTTCAACATAAAATATCGTAGAATAATAGAAATAGCCGATTCTTTGATAAAATGTCATAAGTATCTGAATTAGTCTTGCCATTATCGTAAAATGGAGAAACGTTCAACTTGTTTTCAGACAGTTTTTTTTTAATGTCCGTTTTTTCATAATATATCGTTTTTGACCAATTACGAACTCACCGAGCGTATGGAGACACTGATGTGGCTCACTGTAGCAATTATTGTTTCGTCATTTTCATTCATCAGGTCTGAATAGTCAGGCAGCTATTACACCATTGTGCAAGTCACACCATTGTGGAAAACAATTTGTACCGTATTTAATTTATTAGAATTTTCTTTTATATAAAGAATTGTAGTTTCAGAAATGTATTTGAGAAACCTAACTGCCACCCATCTTTACTCTTGCGTGGGCACAGATGCTAACTATGCGACCCTTTCTTCTCTATGGATCTGCTGTGTCATTTTATATCAGCTACCGTGAATCGAAGGCTTTTCATTTTATGTACACCAAGTGCGCGACAACCCATTAATGCTTTTCTCTCATCTCCCAAAAACTGGTGTAGAAACGAGGTTGGCACACCATGTATTACGTTTCAGTTAAATATCATACTTACAATTAATATTAGTTGTTTTCATTGGTCTAAGTGAAACAATTTACTAAAGTTCCTACGTCTCCTGTACAACTCTTTGCGTCTCTCGGGTCGTGTGACCGCGAGACGCAGTGTTAGGTATTTACCAACACAGGAACCTTGCTTCCATAAACGCCAGCTAAGCAAACTCATGATTGCATTGCAAATAACTGAAAAAGATGAGAATTGAGATGAAAAATGACAAACAGCATTTTGTGGAATTTTTTTTTTGAGATAATGCGCAAGTCACTGGGACAATAATTACTAGAACCAAGTATTTTCTACTGCAATCATTTCATTACGTAGTGTATGCTATTAATATTCATGTAAACATAGTGCACATTGATATGATTCGTCGCTTCTTGTGGCTTTCGTCATGAAAGGAATCAATTTTAGCTTGGCTGTCAATTAGATACTCCCTTCATCACGGGAAAAGAAAACTCCTATTTTATGTGAATTGAGGTATCAAGTTCATTGAACGAGTGTATAAAAGTTTTGAAGCAATCAATGATATTTTAATACATTTCAAGCGAATAGAACGATCTGTTCGGAAGAAGAAGAAAAGTCAGATTGTTTTAGGACTGCGCTGCAATTGTCAAGGTTTGTAATGGTACACGAATGTTTATCCTATTTCTCACATACAGTTCAGAAATATTCGGGCTTTAGTACGTCTATGTGATGCGAAAACAGTCATGGAAAGATTCGGTAGTTTGTGTATTTAATTACACTACTAGTATTTGAAAGGCTCGGTAAACCATTGCTTTAACTCATCAATATACGCGGTTTGAGTCACTCCTCTACTAGTGTGATCTATATTCAAGAAAATATTGTTTTGAGCAATGCAATGATATTTTTGGCGAGTTCTAAAAGCTTGGTTTTCATGCCCCCTTGCACAGTTTCTGATGTTCAGAGTAACATTGCCCTAACACTCTCTCGTCTTGTTTCCAACGGCAACCCGCAAAGAACTAGGTATTTTCAGTCCTAAAAGAAGTGTTTCCTGGCCTCGTTATGTGTTAAACTGTAAACCTCCTGACACCCTCGTGTCTAAAACAATCTTCTTGCAAATGATTCAACTCGAAATAACAGGAATCGTGCACACTAAACAATTGATGGTTCAGACATTAATTTGAATAACATTAAGTAGCACTCTATAGAATCTTATTGTTTAAACACCCCTTAAACAGAAAAATGAAAATACTTTTCTATTTCATTGAACTAAATCCACGTTTGAAGGAGCACTGTACTATCACATATATTACCTTCCATTTCAGTACAATTTTCATTTTTACTTTCTGTATACTGCTAGTAATACAGTGGTAATTATGTAAAGCAGGAGAGAAAAGTTCCAATTTTGCGACCAAAATGGTTACTTTATTTTAATTGCGTCAAATGATTTTTTTTTCTTTGCTCGATCAAGAATAAGAAACCATCGATATCGAGCAAAAAGATCATTTCACCCACGAAATAGACTCATTTGCTTCTCCGATCGTATAAAACTACAATAATAGTTTGTTTCGTTTAATTTTTTGCACGGTTTCTGTGCAGTTTCGCATTTCAAACAGGCATGCGCCATTGAAAATGAACAATATGCAATTGGCTGATGTTAAAGAAACAGAATTCCTTGGTCTCTCAATTCAGACAAATCGCAAATGGAATATCCGTATAACTGAATTAAACACTAAAGTAATTTCATTATGTTACCATTCAGAATTCTTTCAAATTCAATCAGCCTTTATGCAGCTCATTGTGTGTATTTTGCGAATGTCTTATTTACATTCCCATATGAAATATGGCATAATATTCTGATAAAGATCATTTATCTAGACACTAAATTGCAGGAAAAATGTACAAATAATAAAGCAAATGCCATCATCGCGATTCTTACATGCACTTCTCTTCATTGAGCTAGGTACGTCAAAATTGACGTACATAAAGGTGGGATCATTTTCATGCAATACAGATATTTATAATTACAACACACGTCTTAGGAATCATATTCATCAGAAGTTAGTATCAACTACTCACTACAAGAAATCCATATATAATACATGTACGTTATTTTACAACGCATTACCAGATAACATTAATTAATTAAAATGGATACACACGTTAAGGTGCCACGTTAAACATTTTTTGTTGCATAATTGTGTCTACATGATTAGAGACTATGCTGATCATCAAAAAGAAAACTAATATTTATGTTAACAATGATATATAATGCAACTTTTAACATTTGTATTGTGTAATGTTAAAAATACTAAATATCCATGTAACAAGGAATGTACTTCGGCTTCTGGGACATCCATCAATCAGATTTTGTATTCAGTTTCCACTGAGCAAATGTTGCGTGGGCGCTTGTTTTGTTACTGGACATAAATGTAGCTCGTTTTTTGTTGTCTCCGTTTGGTAGTTGTGGGAGGAGTAGTGTGTCGGGTGCTAATTGTTTCAGCAATACTAAAAAAAACGAATGTATTGTTCGTTTGCCAAACTTAATATCTGCAGAAATATCTAGGAATGTG